CAAGACAAATAATCTTACACATTCTGAAAACAAGATGATTATTCTTACACAATCAGTTCTTGTTTAGTAAATCAGTCTGAAAACAAGATCAAAAAGACTTTTTGGCTGATATAAGAGTTTAAAACTTGGTAAGATGGACAGTTTTTGCAGTGCAAAAAGAGTAGAGATGCATCTAATGATAGAAACAAAAATATGAGTTTGATTTTAAAGAACTTGTTTATTTTCTTTTTAGAAGGAGGCCATAATGGAAAAGAAAAATAAATGTTTGAAAGGATCTGAAACTCTACAAACTGACCAAATCTTGTTTGTTTATTTTTTCCATCTGCAGGCAAAGACAGCAGGCCCACAGATGAGTTCCAGCTGACCTTCCCTCTCAGAACCAACTACATGTACGCCAAAGCCAAGAGGAGCTTTCCTGAAATGTACTCCTTCAGCGTGTGTCTGTGGATCAAGTCCAACGCCTCACCTGGGGTGGGGACGCCATTCTCCTACGCTGTCCCGGGTCAATCCAACGAGCTGGTACTGATCGAGTGGGGTAACAACCCCATGGAGTTCCTCATCAACGATAAGGTAAAGTCCAGTCAGAAGCATGGGTCCAGGAGGAGACGTGGATCTGAAACAGAGACACTCATCAGGTCTCGTCTCTCCAGGTTGCAAAGCTGCCGTTTCTCATCAATGACGGGAAGTGGCACCACCTCTGCATCACCTGGACCACCCGGGACGGGATGTGGGAGGCCTTCCAGGACGGRGTGATGAGGGGCAGCGGGGAGAACCTGGCACCGTACCACCCCATCAAACCGGACGGGGTTCTGGTCCTGGGACAGGAGCAGGTGGAAACTCGTTGATTTTTACGTCCCAGACAGGCTGTTTTTGGACAAAATCCTTAAATAATCCTGATTTTCATTTTGGAGGGAGATTAGAGGCGGAGACATTTGTGTAACGAGACCGTGGGGACTCCTCTGAGGTGGCCAGTGAAGGTTCAGCGGTCTAATTGGGTGTTAGTTGGAGTGTTTATCGTCAGTTTGGTCTGGTTTTAGAAAGAGAAACACTTCATTTCACAGTGAGAAGCTGCACAAAGATGGAGAGAGCAGACTCTTAAATTGGCACCAGGGAAATTAGGATCAGACTTCAGTAATGAAAGAAAACATTTCCCTCAAGCGGTTGCCTTTTTCGTTAACTTTAATGGTTGCTTTTCTAAAAACACGTCAGCCATTAAACTGTGTTTCAGTCCACAGCCCTGCATCTGGTGTCAACTCACCTCATTTACTCTTTAAAATGGTTTAAATGTCTTTACTCTAGTTAAAACATGCCCTCTTTAAGAAGCTGAAGGCCCCGCCCACACAGGAAGTTTCAGTTTTGTGTTCACATTGAAACTGAGTTTTAGGAGCTCACGGTAATGTTTGAAAACCAGGCTCAAGAGTGAAAATAATCTTTAAACGCCAACATCACATTCTCATGTGGACAAAACAACTTTTAGAAAACGATGATGTCACATGTAGACAAACACAAAAACTCACATTACTGCACCAAATATTTCAACCACAAAGGTTTTTATGCCTTCATAAAAATGTTAGCAATATTAACGGAAATTTTGCAGAACAAAACTACACAAAAATACATCAAATATATGTTATATACAAATATTTACAACTTACCCATTTTGTCACATAACTGGCCTATTTTCTTTTGAGTTTGGCTCAGCCAAATTGAAACAGGAAGTGACATCAAAGGAGAACTCATTAATAAAATAAACTCGCTGGTCTCTGTTTAATAAAACAAAATTATTTAAACTTTAACTCTTCTTTATCTCTCTTTGATAGCAACTAAAATAATCTAAAGAAACATCAGATTCTTCTTTATAGGCTGTGCTGTTAGCTGTTGTAGCAAATGCTCTGTTTACATGCAGACATTCCCCTTTGACATCACTTCCTGTTTCTTCACATGCAAATAATATCTCAATAACCGTTCATCTCAGTGACGTGAAATTTGCTTTGCAATATGTTATTGAGGTTATCTTTCCAAAAATGCATTCTAGTTTATTACAAAAATCTGATGTCACAGGCCCTTTAAATGTTAGTGTGTGTGATGACTGACTTGTCGTTTTGCTCCACAGGACACGTTAGGCGGCGGTTTCGACGCCACGCAGGCCTACGTYGGCGAGCTCGCCAACCTAAACATCTGGAACAGGAAACTTTCGGTCAGCGAGATCTACAACCTGGCAACCTGCAACAGCAAAGCACTAGTCGGGAACGTTTTCTCCTGGACAGAGAGCAACATTGAAATATTTGGCGGAGCCACCAAATGGACCTTCGAGCCGTGCCGCTCACTCAACTGAGCTGCAGCTCAGCTTTCAGGGGGAAAGAAAGAAAAAAAAGAAGAGGCCTCTCTGTATTTCTGAGCTTTTATTGTTCCTGTCTTCATTCGTTTGAGACTTTCTGAGTTCTCATAAGCTTAAGTCTGCAGTTTATGTCCTTCTTAGGTCTTCTTTGAGGGGAAATGATTTTATTTCTGTTTGGAGAAAATCTTGGTATCTGCGGTCCTTCCCTCCCACTCTTGGATGTTCAGTTGAAAGCACACCTGAGCTTTTTGTTTGGCTTTTGTCCCCGTCTTGGACTGGCAGCTGGCGAGCTGCGCCTTACGTTTCACCGACTCACAATCCAAGAGAGGAATTACACAACCCTCCCCTCCCCCTCTGGGGGGGTGGGGGATTACCGTCCAGTTCTTGTCAGTGTTTGGCGCTGTGAAGTGATGTCTGATGCAGTACAGCTCCTGACCACCCTCCTGCCTCTCCCCCTCCACCCTCCGGATCTTGCACTGTGACTGAGAGAGAGAACACTGCAAAGGACAGAGGACGCTGCAGAGTCAGCCTGTGCTACAAGTCAGTCTCTAATCATCGTTTGCTTCAGTGTTTTCGTGAGAACCGTGAACTTGCTAACATTGCTACGAAGCCTGGGTGCCTTGGGCTGGTGCAAAACTTCAGCACATCTGGTCTGTTTTCAGTTGCAAACTTAATGTTTACTGGTTTGTGTTTCTTTCTTCTCCTGAGCTGGGTTTCTCCTTCTTATCATTGGTAAATGTGATTTAATTGGGGTTTGTTAAGCTGACACGACGATGTGTTTGTACTCCTCTGTATTAGGAATGTTCCAGTATCTGTAACAGTAACAGCATGACTGACGGAGTGCTGTGAAAAGCTTTGTCCAAATCCGCTTTACTATCTTCTCTGGGTCCGGGTTTTTTACCGTATTGTTATAAAGCTCCGAGCATGGCAGAACTGACAGATGAAGAATTTAATTTTTGTAATAAAAGATTGTGATACTAAATGTCACAGAGCATTCCTGGCTTTATGTGCACAAAACAACTAATCTAAAGGAGGGAAATGGCTTTTGGAGCAAAGACAGAAGCTAACTGTTGTCGGTTCCTTAAAAGAACAGTTTGGACATTTTGAAACATTGCTGTGGAAAAGTTGTGAATATCTTACCTGTTGTAGGTGCGCTCWTTGGAGGAGCTGAGTTTAAAGTTTGGCTCCAGAAATCCTTCAGTTGCTTCTTCTTCCTTGATGACATCACTCTTAGCAGCAGYGCTAAAGCTAACGGGAGTCACATCCTGCAATATATTTGCCAGRATATTTATATAATGTGAAACTGCAGGGGCATAAACTTAATAAATTAGTGTTAAAGTTGTTTTATGACAGCAGAAGTTCAGTTTGTCAGTGACCCTGCTGCTGTTATTACCTCAAACAGTCTGAGCAAAGTGATAGAAAACATTTATCATCCTAAACACCTTTAATATTGAACATTTCCTAGCAGTTCATAGAAAGGTTGTTTATTAAATCTTTACATGATCATTGTTTTGTATCATAATGTTTCTGCTGGAAGAGCTAAATCTAACCGTACCTGTAAATAACCATCCTTCCATTATCTTCTGACCCAGTTTGGTTATTTCTTCTTTATTTTGGCTGAGTTCAGATTATTTAATCTAGTCACAATCAAAYTATTTCTCTGAATGTTTTGGTGGAAACAGAACAAAACTGGATTCTTCTCTTGGTTCCTGAAGAAAATAGGTAAAGTCCAGTTATCTCCAAAGTAAGGTCGTTCAAAGAGCCATCTACAACAGGTAACATATTAATTATTTATGAACTCCACATAGAGCCTCGTTTTAAAACCTTCTCTTTAAGCATAAAGCAGCTGCCTTGTTGCTGCTGCAGAGGCAGCTGAGGGAGAAAAGTGCCTCGTCATTTTAACAACAACCCAGTTTGAGAGAAAATGCAACCTAAACTAAAGCTGCAGCACCTTAAAGTCACCTTWTTTCATTTTGCTCAATCAGCATTAATCTTTGCTCCATCCAAGTTTATCTTTATTTTTAAGAAACCTTTTAAAACACCAAATTCAACCACCGTGATGTGTTTAAGTAGAAAAGTATTTGTTACAACAATCATTTGAAAAAGAATAAGTCACTTTTCTCCACTCATCTGAATGGTTAAAAAGGGACAAATTGTGTAAAATGAAACTATAAACAGGAAGAAAGTGCTGAYCCAGCAGTCACACAATGAAACCAAGATGGTCCCGATAGAACCATAAAAACCTTCAAATCCCATCCCAAAGATGTGAGATTTTTCCTGAGAACCAACGAAACCTGGTGAAGAGAAAAAGGACAAAAGATTTCATGAATAAATCTCTTTGTGTCACCAGATAAAAACATCATTTGATCAGACCTGCAGCCTCCTCACAGGCTGGCTTCTGATCAAGACTTCACTGTGAGGAAGACGATTTACAATAATCACACAATAATAGAAATRATCAGATGGTTTGCTTTAAACAAACCACTGGGTGGGTGGATTTGAGGCAGATTTGATCAGATCCAGCTGGTTTAAAGGGGGATTCTGTAACTTTTTTGCTCTTGTGTAACAGACGAGGTCACTCCACAGAYGTGCAGAGTCAGCTGATTGTTGCGTCACTTCAGCATGAATGATTCGCAGCTTGATGTTCAGGATTAAAGTCTTACCAGGTTGGGGCTTTTATTTTGAAAAGCTCAACTGAAGATTGTTCAATACAGTCGATCGCCGTCATCACTTCGTCTCATGTTTGAGCCGCGGCATGTCGGCGGTTCCACCTCTGTTGCTACCYCGCTCATCGAGGGCGGGCTCTAACCACCTCGGTCCAATCAGAAGTCACACAGAAGACGTCTGAGTCCYGCCATGAGCTGTCTTGTAAATGAGCTCCTATTTTTTTTTTGAAGAGTATGTTTGAGCTTTATTTTGAAACTTTAAATTTAGAGCTGTCTTATGTGTTCTTTCCTCCCACCAACCAAACATACCCATGTAACACACTGGAATACTGAAACTTTAGCATTAACAACTGGATTTAGTCAGTCTTTTAGCAAAATATCTCATGTTTAACTGATAGGACGCTCTATGTCCAGTGGCGCCTCCAGAAAATTTTTTTGGGGAGGGGGCACTGAAAAACCAGGGGTGGCACACCAAAACTAATATCCATAATAGAAAWTTTTAWGATGTTTTTGTAAAAATGACWAATTGAAAACTATGTCAACACAAAGCTATGGATCTGCCAACAGATGTTGAATTTGTAATTTCACAGATAATATCACTGATTTTCTGACATTCAGAGACRAARAACAAGARTAAGCATTTGTGATGTTGGGGGTACTCACTGGTGGGGGGTATGGGGGTCCTCCCCCAGAAAAATTTTACAGAAGTAAATGCCATTTCCTGCATTCTGGTGTATTTTAAGAGGTTGTTAAACAGATTTGGGTGGCCAGCTTATTCTCAGGGGGTCCCCCCCCTGCTGGCGCCCCTGTCTATGTCATTTGATTKTACAGACAATGAGCTAAACTTCGGCGTGTTTGTAGCTGACAGTTGTCTTATTTCATCTCTAGCATGAGAGGTGGCGGGTGATATGCATTCCTTCAAGAACTGCTGTGTCTTTATTTCATGCAACAGATACTAAACATGTCAGTAAAACTTCCAGAGAGTTTAAACTTCAGAGGGTTTGAGAGTCGGACCACCTGAGACCAGATCCATGTTTCTGTAATCTGTCGTCTCCCCGTCTGAAGGATTCTCCTTTGTTTCGTTTGGAGCAGAGACTGGGAGGATAAAGATGTGACATCTCTGCTGACACCTCATTAATTCCTCAGCCGTCCCCCGAGTCAGAGGAAAAACACAAACGATGCTTCGGATCGGGAGATTAAACAAACAGCCTAGAATGGGAGTTTGTTTAACAAGAAGAAGAAAGGAGGAATATTTACTGAAACAAGGTTAAACACTGACTGACGGTGAGTGCTGCTCACGCTGGCAGGCTGCTTGCTGATGGAGTTAAAGCTGAAACAGATGCTTCAAACTGGACTGGATCCTCCAGGAGACAGACCCCCCCCCCCCCCCCGTGGCGTCAGCTCTCACAGCTGGGAGGGAAACTTGTGGCATTTACAGATCAGCAGAAGCTTGCAGGCAGGATGCAGGGAGGATAATGAGGCTTCCTGGGCAGCACGGGCTCAAGGTGAATGAACAACTCCTCTTCTCTTTTTTTTTTTGTTTTCAAGTGTGATTTCTCTCTATTTATAGTCTGAATCTTACACGGGCGTCTCGGTGGGATTCACAGGCCCACTGCAGCAGCGGTCCATGACCCGGTACAGGATGAGAGATAACYGTGGCTGTGAACAGAGGAGCAACACGACTGAACTCTTTTATTCTGCCTCTGGGCCACGAGGCCGACATACTAAACCTGTGATGAAGCAACTTTGGGCAGCTGAACGATGAAATTAACATCCTTTACGTTGGCCATGTTAGCATCTCTGCAGGGAAACATTTGAGAGTTCTGGGAGCTGAGCGGGAAATGTTTCCTGTAAGATAAGAGGCCTCTGCTGAATCATTAAATCTTATTGGTGCAGCAGCATAACGCTGCTGAGGAGTCGGAGACAGCCAGGTAATTGTCTGCACCTTATATCAGTCCCAGACTCATCATTTAGTTAAAACACATACTTTACTTTCAGTGCACAGGAGGTAATAAGTGACGAAGCCCAATAATAATTTAGGATGTTTTCTAACAACATTTGTAAAATTATATTATAATCTTCTCAGAGCTGTTTAAAAACATCGCAGCTCCATGGATGTATTTTTCAAAYGAGGGTTTTTCCAAAAGCTGCAGATCAAACAGCTGAATAACTTGAATCAAATGATGTCATCTCTGCACCAAAGAGAACCYGTCAGAGCAGATACTAAAAAAGCACAGGGGATGTCCCCCATCGACTTCCTGTATAAAAACCCACCAAAGATAAGTGGGTTTGAAGACTCCTGATCAAAGCCCACCTGATGGGCGTCAGGTCTGAGCAGGTCCAGGTTCATGGAAGGCAAACAGAAACAGGTTTTCAGTTTCTGCTTTAGAACGGAGACCTGGTCCCTCACATCTGGTTTCCTTTCAAGGCCGAATGGTTGCATCAACCTGTGAGGCTGCAGCGGATCTTCTGATTGGTTCCCTGGAGCAGGTYTTACTTGTCCCATGTGGTCTCTGTGTGGAGGTGGTCTCCAGTTTTTAGGTACGAAGCTGCATCTTTGTGTTTCATTTTGTTTCTGAGTAAAACTGAAGAACTTGTTTGACATTCAGACCGAGCTCGTCTCCATCCTGATGCAGACGTGGACGGTCCCGTCAGACCGGATCTGTTCTCTGGGTTTCAGGTTCTGTTTGAAGTGTGTGTGTGTTTGATCTGCAGCCCTGCTGAGTTCTAACACTCCTCACAGACAGAAGCTCTTCCTGTTTCCTCTTCCTCTTTGTGACCATTCTGTTTCAGGCGATTCCAGTTTTTCTGCTGATCCCAGGTCTCCATCARTCAGCTCTTCATTCGTGCTTAAAGATTCCTCAAAAAGCTGCTGCGTCATTGTTCGAGTCGCAGAAGGAACACTTTTATTTATAAGTTTCTAAACTAGATYCTCAGTAAAATATGTTTTCCAACATGTCAACACACACCGTCATCATCTTTATTTCTCCTACTGTGAGCCGAACTGCACACATTCTCCTCCCTGATTGGCCATAAATCCTCTTTAGTTYCATGTTTCCCTCTTTATTTTCTCTKTGAGGGAGGTGGGCGACTCACACAGCATCCTCTGCTGCACCGAGAAAATAATAAAATAAAGATCATAAAAGGAGGTAAAAATCAGAGGAAAGAAGACGGGGAGGACCTGGGCAGGAAAAAAAAAACAACCTGAAATGATCATTTAGACTAAATTTAGGACTCGTCTTGAACAGTTTGGTCCTCGGGGTGGGGGTGGGGGGTCGTAAAGTGTCCACAGAAGTGTAAATGGGACGATGTCTCCTCCCG